CTTCATGAATATCTGTTGAACAATAAATAATATTTCAAAAATTTTAAATAACCATATTATGTGTACGACACATGCTACCTTTGCTTGTTTCCCAAATATTACACTTTTTCTTTTGTTTGTAATATCCTAGCCAACTATTTTCCCTAAGTCCTGATTAAATTTTGAGACTGTTATACGTATTTCAGTAAGACTGGACCCTAATGCAGATATAAAAAGTCCTGCAAACTGTAACCTTGTACTATTATGCCACCTGAAAAGTAGCCTTGTATGTCCCTCAGCACAAAATCTAGAATATCCTATCATTAACTATAGCAAATCTGGTTTACAGAAGTGCCCTCCAAATAGCACTTCGAAGGCACAACTTCTTCATATCTCCCTCCAGGTGAGCAAGAACCAAAGATTTAATTGTTGAACTTTGTCCTGACATTCTATCATGATCCACTGTTTATAATATAAAAAATGGGCATGATTGGTTTTGCATGAACTTCCAAATTCGGAAGGTCTCTCTGGGTGGTAGGCATCTAGCCCAGCAGTTAAGAAGCTCCTGTGGAGTGCCCAGTTGAAAAGTGTCAGTGCCAACTCCAGCTCCCCTTTCCAGCTTCCTGCAAATGCACACACTGGGACATGCAGCAGCTGACAGTGCAAGTAGCTGGGTCCCTGTCACTCTCAGGAGGGGCCTGCAATGACTTCCCTTCTCCTAGCTTCAACCCAGCCAGTTTCTGGTCACTCAGCATTGAGGGTGTGATCCAGCCTTTCGGAAATCTCTATGTCTGTGTATCTCTCTGCCTCTGTGTTTCAAATAAAATCTTTCAGAAGCTAAAAAAGGAAGAACTCTGTTCTCTTCATACAAAGTTCCATTTCTATTACAAGTTGTTTTTTTCTTCACAGAAGTGAGCAAGAAGAAATGGGGAAAACAAGACTTTCTCTTTTTATACAGAAACTTTTAACATGGTAACAAATACTTTTGCTGGAAATGAAATTTTTTTAACTTTGAAAATGAAGGTTCTCCTTACATCCAAATATAAGGATTATTTAGCTGACTCAGACAGGATGAATAGGATGAGGATCATGATGGTTATATCCCTGAAAAAGATATCTATAAAAAAAAGAAATAAAGAAAAGAAAAAGAAGAAAGAAAATGGAGTGAGAGAGAAGGTCTGTAATGATTTGATTGCTAATGGATATTTTTCTGCTCATGTCAGCGCTAACTGCTCTTTCCAGTGAATAAGCCATTTTCATATGCTTTTTTGCATTAGGATCTGAAGACTTCACAACCTCTGTTGGTCTCATGCCTGCCTCATCTCTTCCACCTCCAACTTCACTCCTATTCCTACCTTTACTTTATTGGGCAACCAGCATTTGTGCCCTAACTACCAACCTGAACATCTGTTGCCTTAAAAAAAAAAATCACCTCATTGCCTAACATCCTCTAGGGCAAAAAGTTTGAAGGAATCAGCATCCTCAAAAAAGAGCCACAGAAGGTGCCTGGGGGTGGGGAAGGTGGAGAGAGAGGGGGAGCAGTGAGAGGGATGTATATCTTTTCCAACTCTGTAAATTGTGTGTGTGTGTATATATATATATATATGTGTGTGTGTGTGTGTGTTAGGGGTATACACAAAAAAACATATATATATATATAAAATGAAAAAATATATATATATAAACATATATATAAACATATATATAAAAACATATATATATAAAAAACATATATATATAAAATGAAAAACACTTTAAAAGCTTAAAAGTTTCTCAGTGCAAGCAAATATATGTTCCAGACAGCATACTGTCTTCCTTTATACATAGAAGATGGAGACTTAGACATTTTATTTTATTGTGTGCTTCCAACTGTGTCTGCTTTGCAACACATTACCATGTATATGTACACACACACATATATAAAGTTTTTATATATGTACATATATAAAACTCTAGAGAACAAATGTCAACGTTTCTCATTCTTTCTCCACAATAGATTTCTTATTCTTCTTCAAAGTTTTCATTCTCAGAACACTTCTACAACTGAGAGATAAAAGTATTTCCACTGAATTAAAGTGAATTCTGTGTTAATAGCTCTCCTGAATCCAACCCGAGCCCATTTCTGATAACTCCACTGCAACACTTCATCCACCGCTCTCACCACCCCACTCCTTGTATCAGCAAAATCTTTACAATCCAAAATCCCATTGCCATACACCTTTGCCCTGAAGCTTTTACCAGTCCATTTCCAGCAATGTTTGCATTTAATTTGATTCCATTCTTCATGCTTTCCTCATTACTCTTAGTTCATCTACACCACATAAATTATCACCCTTGTTTTCAGTTCCCCATGTGCCCCATTCACACCAATTCCAAATAAATACTCTGATTCTCATCCATTTAATCCAAATTAATTCACATTCCCTCCCCTCATCCTCCATCCCTATCTGATTTCCCTGCCTGCCTGTTTCTCTCTTTGAGCACCTACTTTTCTACTTGTGCTTGTCTCTGAGGAAGCTTTTTACAGGCAAAACGCTTCTGTAGGATGCATGGCACTGCTTCCTGCACTGTCCCAGGGAAGCCACGCTGTTCTGTACACTACTGCCAATGTCACAGACACACTTGTAAGGCCAGTACCCCCTTCCTCAGCCGGTGTCCGCAGGCATCATCACCCTACACCCACTCCAGATCAACCCCTGGGAATGAAGAAAAGCACCTTTCTTTTGGATGATATTTCACTTTAGCTAACTGGCTTCTTTCTACTGTACATAAGGCACTTTTTCCACACAATCACTACAAATCTATACCAGCAATAGTAGGAATCTCAATAGTCCACTCTGCCACTGTGTTTAATGAGCTCTTACTGACTGCCAAGTATTTTATATGTATTTGCGTATTTAATCTTCCAAAAACCCTATACAGTAGATACAATGATCTCAATTTTACAGTTGGAAAAACTGAGACTAAGGAAAAGTAAATAACTTATCCAGATCAGAAATCCTGGAAGTAGCAGTCAGGACCAAACCCAAGTGCCTTGATTATCAAGCCGTGTTCTTAACTGCTCTGCAATATAGCCTTCCTAATCATGATTCAACTCCCTATGGGGAGGAGTCTTTCCACCTCAACCTGCCATAAGGCAAGAGGTTGCAGGTGCTCGGTCACATAATGAGCTCCACCTTGGTAAACAATGCACAGAAAACAAAGCCCCAAATAATGTACTGTTCATAACAGCTGACCTTTATGATGTCTCTGTTGAAAAGAAGGGGCAGAAACAAGGGGGGAAAATTCCCTGAACTCCGCGCAAGAGAACAGCTTCCACACAGCTAGAGCTGTCCAGACTCCATGTGAGGCAGGATGCAGCCCGCCTTACTGTAATTCAGAAGGGTGTGCCCAGGCACAAATGCCACAGCCCCTGCAAATCTCACAATTCTTTTCTCTTCCTGGTTTCTCTGGTTTCCTAGCGGGGAAAGGGTAGGGCAAAAATCAAGCTCTGAAGCCAGAGGGCACTGCAAAGTTTTTGTCATTACTCTGACTTTAGGAAGACAAGATTATAAATAAAATAATTTTCAGGATACTATCAGATAGGGGAAAATCTAACACCATCAGGGAGCATTTCCCTTGCTGTATGTGGAGTAGAAAATTTGAATGTAATCTCTGATGGAACACACAGAGTGAGATTTTGCACATGACCAGGAAGATTTAAAATTCTGTTGGGAGACTGTCCCACAAAGCAGCTAAGAGTCATGTGGGAAGTGAAGCTGAGAATGAGACGGTCACTGCCATAGCCATGTGTGCAAGTAGACAATGACAGTTTTCATTCTCCCCTAGGAATAACTTTGAAGTTCAAAATGGTCGTTTCTCTCTTCCATATTATACCATCCTAATTCAGGAAGGGTCTGTGCATTGCAGGAATATTTAAGGGACCCTGCAATATTAGAGCTGAGATAGCATTAAGAGCCAGATTGCCTACAGATGTGGAAAATGGGGGCCAGTCAGGAACAGGATATGCTCAAGGTCACAGAGACAGAAAGCGACAGTCAGAACTAGTACTCAGGTTGCTAGGATTTTCTGGCCAGTGATCTTTCCACTGCTCCCTTCCTTGGTGGCATAGTCGACAAGCCCTCAGAGCATCAAACACTTATAACTCATGTGTTAATTCCCATTTATCACAAAGAAAACTCTAGCATCTCCATGGTGAAGAACACGAAGCTCAGGCTTCAGCAGAGCACCAGCCTCACACTCTCCTGTGTAAAGCCCAATCTTCCCAATTTTCCCATTGCTCAAAAGATCTGCATGATTCCCTGGCACCATCACTGAAGTCCTGCGTGAAATATGCAAGTCCCCATCCCGCCCTCACCGCCCTTACCACACACATCGCAATGTAATCGCTTTAGCAACTTCTCAGTAACAAGCTCATTAAAAAGCAATTCTGCCATCTCTCCATAAAGCACGCGCCAGAGAACAATGCAAAAGAGGAGCTGCCAATTAATTATAGAATGATCACATCTAATGAACTCCGAAACCCTCCTGCTGTTGGTGACTTTGATGAAAACTCAGGGATGCTGGGAAAAGAGGAGATGGGGACACCCCGGCTACCTTGTTGAACTGTAAACGCTTTCAAATGTGCCTCCTCAGATCCGCACGTTGATCAAACATCCCAAGAGACAGAGAAAACAATGAGACGTGTCAGGAAAGGAACATGCATCTGTGTCACGCACAGCTGTGAGCCACACTACCCCAGCTCCCCAGTCATCCTTGGCACTGTTGAAATCTACACTGTGACTGGCATTGCCTCTGCAAGCAGCTCACAGTCAGCAAGAGACAGATCCATGTCCTGTGTTGAGGACATCTTGAGATTTCAAGATAGGAAATGAATCATTCTTCTTCCCCACCTGGGCCCCCCTACCTGCCCGTCACCACCCCACCAGGACACACATCTCAAAACAAAGAGAAGGCCTTCCCACCACGAGGCGAAAAGCAGGGGAAAGAAGAAACCACGTGCGGCCAACTTGTACCACTACCTGTGTGAGTCCTCTGGTGGGCCTTTAAGTGGGAGCTTTTTGTATAAACTTTCCGGCACCCGTTAAATTGACAGCGGTGAACCCTCTTCTTGTTTTCAGGGCATGCTTCAGCCCCTACCCCTCCTTGTTCACTGTCGCTTTGTCCACTCTTAACTGTCCCAGCTGCCGCCACGGCTGCTGCTGCTGTGGCCACCCCTCCCACCTTGACCGAGCTGAGCGCTGCCTTCTTGGCCACCAGTTTCAACGTCACCGTGCCATCCACGGCAGAGAGGGTCTGTGAGGTTTTGACCAGATGGCGGCTGAGCTCAGGGGATGATGGGGGCGTTAATGAGGTCACTGCGTTGAGCTGGGCCTGGTTGACGGCTGCGTAGCTGTCGAGAGAAGAGCTGGTTGGCTGGAGGCTGAGGCAGGTCTCAGACAGCAACTTGTCCCGAGAGAGCAAAATGTCCACTGCTGAGCTCTTCTCGCAGATGGCCGCTTCCACCGGGAGCAGCAGGGGGTCTAAGCGCCGGAAGCTTTCCTCGATGCACGGCGGAGGGGAAGCACGGAGGAAACAGTCCAAGTCCTCCCCAAAGGTCTCTGAAATCCTCCTGGGTTCCGTCTGTAGGTAGCGTTCCAATTCAAGGCATGTCTGCAGAAAGGAAGCAGGGAGGAGAGAAACAACCATCAGAGGCCAAGAACACCAGGAAGGCACGTGTTGACAGGCAGAGGGAAGGTACAGGGAGAGCAGCGTGGAGCTGGTTATCTGCAGTGCTGCTGTGGAAAGGTCTGACCTTGTCACTAACTCTGTGCATATTTTAGAAAACTCTGCAGAGGTTACATACAACCTCAACCACAGCAGGAAGAACTGGATCCTCAAAAGAACTAGATCACACCTTTCGGGGCTCAGAGAACAGTAAAAGCTTAAAAGATGCCCTCCGGTCCCCACAACCAATTCAGGAAGTCAGATTCCCCAAGCATCTGGAGGAGTTCCCACGTATGCAATAAAAATGGACAAACGGTTTGCATACCACAGACGACTTCTCCAGGACCAATTACATTCTTCAAAGCGGACTAGACCAAATCACAAATAAGAAGTCCATTTTCTAACTTAATCCGGAGAATGAACCACATCCACTCAACCTAAGAGGTGGCCTCGGCAGCCAGCAGCAAGCGCTGCCTTGGGCCTGAGTTCTGCAGCCATCAAGAATGGATATTGGGCTAAAGAGAGCTTTCAATAAAGCTTTTGAGGCAGAAAAAGGAGAGGAAGGACCGTTGAAGCTTGTTTACAGCAAGTTATTAAAAATATAATTACTACTTACTTTATGGCAAGAGGCGTGAACCTATCACACTGATTTAGCATCTCTATGTGATAAAAATAAGCTCAAACAGAGCTATTGAGACATTTTAGAGAAGACCCACTATAATTCCAACATGAAATTTTCATCTTGAAGGGAACATTTGGCGCAGCAGTTAGGATATCACTTGCAATGCCCACACCCAACATAGGAGTGCCCGGTGTGAGTCACTGTTCCACAGGGATTCTAGTCACCAGGCAGCACACACCCTGGACACTCATGTAGCAGACTTGGATCGAGTTTCAGGTTCCTGACTTCAGGTTGGCTCAGCCCCAGCTGTCAGGAGCATCTGGGAAATGAATAAGTAGATGGAACACCTCAATCTCTTTTTGTCTCTCCCTCCCTGTCACCTTCTTTTTGTCTCTTCCTTTCAAATACATTTGACAGAAATTTTAATTTGGGGGTCCCAGTACGGTAGCCTAGTGGCTAAAACACCTTGCCTTGCATGACCCTGGATCCCATATGGGTGCTGGTTCATGTCCCAGCTGCCTTGCTTTCCATCCAGTTCCCTGCTTGTGGTCTGGGAAAGCAGTAGAGAACAGCCCCAAAGTCTTGGGACCCTGTACCCATGTGGGAGACCCAGAAGCTCCTGGCTCCTGGCTTTGGATCAGCTCAGCCCCTGAACATTGTGGTCACTTTGGGGAGTGAAGCAGCAGATGGAGGATCTTTCTCTCGATCAATCTGCATTTCCAAATAAAAAAATAAATCTCTAAAACATTTTCAATTATTTTCATCTTATAAATCAGTAAGTGAGGACCAGAAAGTTTAGTTATCCATAGTCTTCATTAATCTATGTAAAATGGTGGAGTATCTTCACAGCAAAGTAGGCACTTGAGCAGTTTGTGCTTTTAAATTTCTCCTCACAGAAAAATCATGACATTCTAGACTCCTCAATAAAACTGTAATGCTGACTGGTACCATGGGTTTAATTTACTCAATCTTCTGGGTTTCAGTAGAAAATCCCAGTGGCAAATTTTAAATGTGACTAGCTGCAAATTCCCTGTCTCCATGAAAATGCTGTTTTTAATTCAATGTTCTGGCTCTAGGCTTTTATTCTGTTAAGAATATATTTTAATGATAAACAATAGTGGTTTTATAAGTGTCAAGGGTTTTATTTTAGTAACATTACAAACATTTGGTTTTTACTCAGACTTCTTATAAACTACATATTACTGAATAAGAAAATCAGGCTATTACGTATGAATTATCTTTGAGTCTCACTGGTGATTTTTAAAGAGATGAACTATTGAAGAGTCCCAATCTTCACTCAACCCTCATGTCAACAATGTTCTTTCAACTACTGGGCTCGTGGAAGCTCTTGTGTGAGTTAGAATACATAGTAGTAGAACCATGGAATGTAGAAGAGACTAAAAAGTTACAAGATCAAAATGACATGAATACTCACAGCCACATAATGTTAAATAACAAAGAATGTTGGAAAGTATTAATCAAGATCATCCTATTGTAAGTGTTTGCATTTTATTTTTTCTATTGATCAAATAAGAACTCTGATTCAGTAGCTTCTCACAACTTTAAATTAGAAAGCAATGCTGCCACTTTCTGAGGATCAGAAACTTGTACTATCCTCTTTCATCCTTTTTCCTTTATTGCACATCTCAAAAATTTCCTCATCCTTTCTCCATATCCTTGCTAAAAGTTATCACTTATATTTCTAATATTACAACTTCTGGTTTTAGCTCCAGTCAATTCATTCCTGAATTATAATATCCTACTTTCTGAATCTCTGTTAAACGTCACCTTCCTTTTCTTAAGCTATCGCGTACCGAGCAATAGCACCTGGTACTCAGCAGGTACATATTGTCTGTCAAAAATGAAATCAACTGTATTCTATTTCTTAGGTCATTTTATCTCTTCCATTCATCTTGGAAACATCTCAGTTGACTCTACAGTATATTCAAGTAGTTGCTTCTTATTATTCTCACTGCTATAAGCTTATTTCCAGTGGGTGAACCCAGCAATATTGGCAGCAGAAGCAAAAAGTATATTATTTAATTGCCAGATACTTTTGGATTTGACAAATATCTTTCAATTATCGATTTCCAGCTAGATTCCTCTGTGGTCAAATAGTTTATACAATTTCAATCTTTTTCAAGCTATGGAGATCTCTGTTGTGGCCCCAAGAATGGTTCGATTTTTCAAGATTGGCAATCTTAGAAATGACCACTGATACATGTCCTTCGGAACACAAATGTGGTTCTTGAGGTTTGCCTATAGAGCAGAACCAGCTCTCAGAGACCTAGACGATGGCAGTAAGAAATCAGTGTGACTGTTGGGAGGCCCACATTTTTTCATCTTCAGAGTTCTAAAGACCCAACATAGTCTAAAGACATTTGCACATTCACCTGGGAAGACTAAAACATAACCCACTCAGTGTGCCCTGGTTGAAATCTCAGGAGTGCATGAGTCACACATATTATCTAAAGATGGAGAGAATATGATCACCAGAAAAGTGGCATGAGTGGCAATTGGAGTGTGCTGGACAGCCCTGTGAAATCATTATGGAATTATTTTTGTCTTGAGACTTCCACTTCTTACAATAGCTAGAGAAAATGATGCCTGCAGAAGAGCTCATAAATTAGAAACTGGGGGAAAGGGTTTAAAAGCTTTCTCACTGGAAGTGTGGTGAAAGAGGTGGATGTTTGTCACAATGACTAAGACATATACTAAGACATACACTGTTTGGCACCTGTATCCCACAGCAGAACGCCTGGATTTGAGGCTCTGGCTAATACATACTCTTGTAGGCATCAGGTCATGGTTCAAGTGCTTGGGTTTCTGGCACTCATACGGACACCATATTGAATTCTGGGGACCTGGCTTCAGTCTGGCCCAGACCCAGATGCTGTGGGCAACTAGAAGGTGAATCAGCAGATGAACAATCTCTTCTTTTCTTTTCTCTCTCCTTCTCTCTCCTTCACCCCTTCTGTCTCTCCTTTTCGCCCTCTCTCTCCCTGCCTTTCAAATAAGATAATTTTGTAGTAAGTTGTTCAGAAACAAAATACCTATTTTGCTTCAAAGTATTTGTTGACTACAAAGATAGCAATAATGTGCAATGGAGATACATGCAGACATTGTTAACCACATAATCAACATAAGCAGTCTCAGTAACACCTGGTATTGATAAAATGTACCCCAATATTATATGCTCAAAGGGTGAGGCATTCCTGCCAAAAATGCATCACTTGAATTTAATTATGACAAAAAATCAGAAAATTTCAAGTTGAGGACCATTCTACAAAATATTTCCCTCGTACTCTTTGAAAGTATCAAGGTCACGAAGAAAAAAGGAAAAACCAAGAAGCTGCCTCAGCTTGGAGGACACTTAAAGAGAAATGACAGCTAAGGACAAAAGGATCCAACAAACAAAAGAACCTCAGTAGGAGAAATAATGCAATTTAAATAAAGCATATAGATTAGTTATTGATATTGTAACAGTGATAGTTCCCTAAAAATAACTATCATAGCTATATGCATTATGGGAAGGTAGAACTCTATAGACTATTTTACAATTCTAAGTGACTTCAAAAACACAAAAGGAAGACAGATCCATCAGCAGTCGAGGAGTGTGCATTGTGAATCTGCATGAGAATCCAAACATTTGTCTATCAGAACTAGTGTTGTACCCTGCTTCAATGACATGCCAGCCAGCATACTCCAAGTGTGAGTCAGCAACTGTCAATTTGGTGACATAAACTGTACCTGTGTGCTACCTCACCTTGGAGCTACAAGGCTTGTCTCAGCCTGACATAACAATACAACTAAAGGTTCTGGTCATCAACCCACACCATTCCAAAAAACTACGATCATCACGGAGGAGAAAATGTGCTCAAATGTATTGTGAATATCTTATCTATCTACAATCTGCAAATGAGCATTGCCAAGATCCCCTGATATCTATAATGTGAGATGCATGGTTTCCTCTTACCACCCAATCTTACAAAATCTTTCCTGAAATTGGTTTTAAAATGATCATTTTGTAATCTTTTTTTAGTACTCTTCATACTCATCTTCTTGTGAAAACATACTTATTAAAAATAAGACCTGGGTTTTTTTCTTCTTTTTAAAATGGAGGATTTCTATTTATTATTGCCATACCTCTTACTTTTTGCTTGTTTCAAGGTTAGAAGCTGAAAGACAACAGGATCATTGAAGTCTTACAAAGTATTTTAAGTTTTCCAAACTCCTTGCTACCAACAGTTATTTTCGTAAGCTCAGGAAAAAAGGTCCAATATATGGTTCTATATGGCTATAATGAGAGTGTTATCCAATATAT